TTTCTTTCTCTTTTCTTTTCTTTTTTAATCAAAAGCATGTTCTAAAATAGAATGGAATAATAAATCAGAATGCCTCATCTGCTATATATTCATGAGAAGTGTAACTGCTTCTTACTATTCTCAGAAATCCATCCATAGCATATTAAGTACACTAGAGAATCATACCTGTGAAAAATCAAATTGATTTTAAAATTTCTATACATATAACAAGATGCAGCCACGCTTAGAGTCCAATGGTGCTGGCTTTTCTACAATGAAGGGGATTGAAATTGGGGATGAGTCCACTTTACGTGGTGATTTCCTTGACCTGGAATAGCTTTGAGCTGCTGTCTTACCAGCTTACCCCACTGCATTCAATTTCAAATCACCTCACTTCACTAAAGCTATTCAAAGCAGGTATGCAAAACCTTACTCAGGGATTGCAAGAAAATGCTGCCATTTATATTTTTGAGTAGGTAATATTTTGACCAAACATCCATCTCTCTCATCTATATTACTTGGCTTGAAGCCATGGGTCTAATTTTAAGGAGACCTACAGATAAAAGTTTTACTGGCTCCTAAGGACTTCGGGCTGCTTAAAAACTTCACTTCTGGTCCTTCTAATTATACAGAAGTACAAATTCTGCTGTGCAGAAGGTTAATGACCATTAACAGGGAGGTGTTTAAGAAATCATTTAAAAATGTAATCTCTTTGAAATTGCTGAAAAGTAACAGTTACCAATAAGGCTGAAAGGTTGAAGGGAGGCTAAATTTAATTAAAATGATGAAACCAAAAATCAACTGGAACTAAGTATTGCTGTTGATTTTGTAATAGGGATCAATTATAGCCAGTATCTATCATTGAAAGATATGTCCTATAGCCTTACTCGTTTAAAGAAAGGTCACAGAAATTTCTTGATAAACTGTATTCACGATTGCCAGCAGGAGGAAATTCACATAAAAAATTAAAAAATTGCTTACTGAATTATTAGGTAGTTTGAAAAGACATTTCATTCTTTTATGTTACACTGCATATGCACTGAACTAAAATACTGATATTTTCCAATAACAATGATTGAATTCAACACTGGCTAAAGGACACGTAGTTATATAAACCTGATTGGATGGTATTTTGTGTAGACCAGGATTATAGCATTCATGCTGCATTACAGCTGATCTGCTCCCTTCTTTTGATGGGAAGCACCTTGAGAGCAGGGACTGATGTTGATTCTATCTCTGAATCCCCTAGTAAAGTGCTTAGCACAGAGCAGGCATTCTGAAATATTTGGGGAGTAACTGAGTAAATAAAAAAATGAACGCTATCATGCACACATGGAAGTTAACACTTGTTACCATGGGGAGAAATAGCTCCATTCATAAGCAAAGCATTCTGCATAAAGCATTCTACTGCTACCACCCCAAAAGCAGCTAACCACCGGTCTTCATAATCTCTTTGGGTCCTCCGCATTTTTGACACTTTGCTAAATGAATGGATTCTTGGAGTCTGACCACAAGTAAATACATTAATATCCAAATATAGGCCATTCGGGTGCCCATTCTGGGATTGTCTCTCAAGTGTGCATTCCAATGGGAAGACCATTAGCTAATCTTTTTTATAAGCAGGACAGCTGAAGGTACACCAAGTCCCACAGCAACCCAAACCCCTTAGCACTCGGTGTTTAAAGTATCTCCACATTCTCAGCAAGGAAACCATGAGGATGAAGCTCTTGTGACCCATGATGCCAAGATAAATTTAACAATATATATTCCTCACCTGAACATTTGTTCATTTCAATAATGTTTTCATCCCTTCCCTATCCCACCTGTTTCCCATTCAATACAGACAATAATGTGATCTACCGTACAACCTACATACTTTCCTGAATAATGTGAGAAAGAAATTGTAATATGAAAAATCAATGCTGAACACATTTCTCTGGGAATCTGTATCAACTTAATTATTGGGAGGAAGGAACTAATAATAGAACAATAGTAGGACTAGGTGTCATCACCAACATAACTATTGACTGTGCTGCCCTGATCTTCAGGCACTGTGTAAATTTCATGTGAACAACCAATCCTGACCATACTTTTACTTCCTTCCTTTCGGCATTTGTATTTCCATCTGACTATCAAATGACAGTGAATTCTGTGGTTTTTATCCATGTTGGCTATCGTCCTTGGGGTTCTGATGGCTTTTCAGGGTTTACTGAACTAAGAGTGGAGGAACAAGCCCCTTCCAAGGCCAAGAGGAACTTGTTTTCAAATGAAACCAGCCCAGCCATTCAAGTCGAAGGATGATGAAAAAGAGAAATTCAGTTTTTAACAAATCTACAGCGACTGAATATACACAAAATGAAGGCTAGAACTCTGTGAAGGACTTGGTGTGTTCTAATACATTTAGATTTCCAATGGGTAGGTGCATTTGTTGAAATGTTAATTTGAAATTTTTATAATAATTGTAAATACTAGCTGTTACTGCAATGTAGGAAATTAAAGTTCCGAAAATGAGATAATTCCA